TTTTTTTTTTTTTTTTTTTTTTTTTTTTTTTTTTTTTTTATGTATGCTGTTTGCAGGTGGATTGTCTTGCAGAGCATCTTTTACCATCTGTATAACCAGGTGTCATACATGGCGCTGGACAACATCTCTCCCCTCACTTTCTCCGTCGGAAACACCATGAAGAGAGTGGTCGTCATTATCTCTTCCATCATCGCGTTTCACACTAAGGTCTTACCGCTTAATGCTGTCGGCTCGGCTATTGCTATCCTTGGTACTTTCCTCTACTCACAGGTGAGTGAACTGCGCACACATTTCTGCTATCCATCTGAAGGTCCCTGTGGCACCTGGGAACATGATTGGTCTGCTTGCTGGCTACCATTTCTCAAAAACTATGGATAAGAGAGGCAACTGGGGAAAGAAGTGTGAAAAGCAAAGGAGTCTACACTTACAGGAAGAAGTGAACGGTCATGGGGTCAATTCAGTCAATTCAGTGGTCTGGTCCATTCTTTCCTTGTCGTCTCACTTCTGCCTATAGTAACGGCTTAAGTTCCCTGCATCACGTGGTCATGTAACCGGTCTCCACGCTGATCGTCTCACTCCTGTCTATAGTAGCGGTCCCTCCTTTCTCTCTCTCGGAGTCTCTCCCTCGTCTCTCTCTCCCTTCCTGCCTGCCTTCCTCTGCCTCTGCCTCTCTCTAGCTACCGGCGATCGTCTGGCCACAACATACCAACAAAAAGGAAAAACAATGATTTCCAGAAAAGAAAATTACTCACTGGCGCCACAGCTCACCTGTTGTTGTTCAACTATCCCGTGACTGAACTACTCGCCATCCGCCAACATTCCAAATGCCTGTGGACTGAACTTTGTCCAGATTTTTAAAAATGCTGGCGGATGGCGAGTGGTGCAACCAGGCCCTGATTCTCGTGAAGAAGTGTACAGGACGAGGTGAACGACCGGGGCGGATGACTGAATTGTTCATCCTTTTGCTATCATTTCACTTTGAAGTTCTCTACTCTTTGGCAAAATCTTATTGCTAGGAGAAAGCAGTATATGTTTCTACCATACATCTCCTTGTTCATTTTTTGTTTCTAACCTGGCAGGCATTCTCCCCCCTGAAGAGTTTCTTACAACTTGGGTGGGAGTTCACTGGTGTATGAAGATTTATTGGGGGAATTGACACACAAACATCAAGAAAATAAAGTTAAGCTTTGGAAATTGAGGTGCACATTATGTTCTTAAAGTTTGTAAATGTCTGCTTCCAACTCTTGATGCATTAAGTATCTCTTTGGTTAAAAGTTGTTTGAAGGGAGGAAAATTTTCCATAGGAGAAAATTTCCTCTCTTCAGTTGCGTTTGAAGTTTCCATCTTCGATCTGCAAGAGATATGTCGAGTGAATGATTTCAGAAATTATTCACTGACTTGTGAGGCGAATGTGCATCTGTGTCACTGTGTGCACTTTTGGATGCAGGCCAAGGCGCATTCTGACAAGACGAAGCAGATGGTCAAGGTGGAAGCTGACAAGAAGCAGCAGTAAAGATATGGCCGTGAGTTAAGGACGGTATATATCCTGTCTCTTATACACATCTAGATGTGTATAAGAGACAGGTGTTTGACAATATGTTGGAAAGTCGTCTTTGTCAGTGTCGTTTTTGTCGGAGCGTCTCTGTCAGAGATGATTCATTACGGGGTAGTACTGGGAAATTGTGATCTTATGAGTGTCGTTTTTATTAGTGTATCTCTGTCAGAGATTATTCATCAATTGGACAGCTTGGTCATGGTGCACATCTTGTTCATGTCTGGTGATATTACCGTGATAAGACACGTAGTGTTGTTTAGGGTAAGAATTTTGTGTACCAGAGATGGTTCATTAACCTGAGTCTATATGGTTCATTAACCTGAGTCTATCCTGGCTGTTTGGTATATTTTTGTGTCATCCTGGAGATGACCTGCTACCAATCAACCGAATAGAATGCATGGCCATTACACTGATTACAGATGTATTGGGCCCAACTTTCAGTCCGGACACAGTGATGCTGGCGGCCCGAAGAAAATGCATGGTCATTATAGCTGTATTTGGGCCAGTTCCAGTCTGGATGCAAGGATACGGGCTGTGTGTTCGATCAGGGTGATGTCAGTGGTGGTACTTTGCATGAAAGGTTGTTGTTTACCAAATGAAAGTGTCAAAACTGTGACAGCCACTCACTATGTCACTCCTATTTCTTGTTCTGCTGTCTTCTTTGGTGATCGTTGATTGTCATCGACTGTCTTGCAGGTGTTCTTTTCTTTGCCAGCCCAGTTCAGGTCAGGTGTGTCGGCACAGTGACTGGCAGGGTCTCTCTCTCTCTTGAAGGAAAGAGCTTTTCCGTTGTCTCCTGCTAAGGGTCTTTGGTGCAAATCAGCGGCCATCTGTGAAAGACTTGCACGTATCTGCAACAATGGCATCTGTTGCAGCAGTATGCTCATCGTCGGCACTGTTGTATTCGACTTGCCAGGGTTTCCAGAGTGCGGAGAGGTTGGCAGGCAAGAATGAGAGGCCTGTACGGAGGCTATCGAGTCTGCAACGCAAATCGCTATCCGTCTGCTCGTCTTCCTCATTGTTATCGTCACACCAAGGAACGAGATCATATTTACCATCCTTGGAGATTGCAGCGCCGCGAGCCCGCTCTCGTGCAGCACTGCCTCAGACCTCTTTCACTGGAGGCAAGGTGGCCGTGGACAACACCTCGTTGTCAGTTCGAAGTAGTCTCTTCCTCTTTGGTCAAAGGCTCATGCCTGTTGGACTGGGCCCAGTGCCATTGATCAGGAAGAAGCCCGCTGGCGGGAGCGGCGTTGGGATTGTGTGTAAGGCATATGACGCTGCAGATCGCAGTGGCATTGTTGACATACCTGCTGCGGACCCAACTGGAACCACTGTCCCTATCGATACCTCGGCGGCTGAGGAAGGGGCAAGCGCTGTCAAGCTGGCTATCATCTTTGCCCTGTGGTATGCATTTAATGTTGTCTTCAACATTTACAACAAGAAGGTTCTGAATGTGTTTCCTTTCCCGTGGTTGACGTCAACATTTTCGCTTTTGGCCGGAACTCTGTTCATGCTGGGTGCATGGGCCATCAAGGCGCAGCCTCCCCCGCCTCTCTCCAAGGAGTTCATGATGGCCCTGGCTCCCGTGGCATTGTGTCACACAATTGGGCACGTGGCAGCGACTGTGAGCATGAGTAAGGTTGCAGTGTCTTTCACGCACATCATCAAGAGCGCGGAACCCGTCTTCAGCGTCTTTGTGTCCAGCCTCTTCCTGGGTGAGAAATTTACTCTGCCTGTGTATCTGTCCCTTCTCCCCATTGTGGTGGGGTGCTCCATTGCGGCGCTGACCGAGTTGACCTTCAACGCAGCAGGATTTTGGGGCGCCATGATCTCCAACATTGCCTTCGTCTTCCGGAATGTCTTCTCCAAGAAGAATCTCAACAACTTCAAGGAGATTGATGGAATCAACTTGTATGCCATGATCTGCATTGTCTCTTTGATATATCTCACGCCATTGGCGATCTATGTTGAAGGACCTGCAGCATGGTCGGCAGGCTGGAACTCTGCAGCAGCCCAGATAGGTGCACAGCGACTGGCCTGGTAAGGAGCTTACCTCTTCATGTTATGTCTCTCTGCAAGTCTCTTCAGAAAGGTTCAGAGTCATGTACTTTGAGTTATGTTTGCTAACCGCGCCGTGTATGGTCGAGTTCTGTTCGCTAATGGCGTGGTGTATGGTTGTGTTCTGTTTGCTATCTTGAACGGAATTCAGACCGACTGACGAACTGTGACGCTTTTTTTTTTTTTTTTTTTTTTTTTTTTTTTTTTTTTTTTTTTTTTTTTTT